TACAAATAAATCTCCTACTTTCTCATTTAAATTAATTTGGAAGGCAATGAGGCATGGTTTGCTTTAAATATATAAAAGGGGATAACAAGTACTGCATGTGTGGCTGTTTCCTCATTTACAGCGTGGGTAATGAATATTTTCCAGCAGAAAGGAGGGGAGACATGTATTTGCACAGTTGAGATACTTAAAGCAATCTGAGCAATATTTTGTAAGCAGTCTTGCTTACAACCTGACATTTTTATGCTTATTGTTTCAGTGCTTTACTTTGAACACAAAGGCTTATTGTCTTTTTTTAAGGAAGACCAGGCTGATCATGGACTGATACTAGGGGCCAGCCAAACACCCAAGATTTACGTTTGTGACTCTCAGGTCTCAAGGACTTTGGTCAGATTGTTTTGCTCATTTTGGTGCTTTTTGGCTCTTAAGAAATATGACAGAAGCAATTTAGCTAGGTGTATAGAAATGCCATGCTGGCCCTACAAAAAAAGGTCTATGACTTTAAAATATCTTGGCCATATCTCCGATAATGTTAGTTGGAGTCAGTCCCTGAGACAAAGGATGTCCCCTAAAGATACAGCACACTTAATTCTTGGTCAGTCTAGTTAAATGAAATATAGACAAATGCTGACTTGTTCTGTTTATTTATTTGATTTATAAGTGAAAGGTCACTTTTTTCTCCCCCACATCAACCTCAGTTAAATAACCATTTTTTTGCAGAGCACCTGCTGGTGTGGGTGGCAGGGAGATGTTGAGAGCCTGGGCATGGACCAGGTACATGAGAGCGATGCATGTGGGCACCCTGACCAGACAGACAGGTTACTTCATTGGAAGGCACACTCATTTTACCCAAACTTGCCTCCAATGTGTTTTGCAGCACTGCAAAATGATTGTGCTGCTGTTGTTTTTCAGGTCTTGTGCTCCTGTTCAAGAGCAGGACAAGTTCTGCTCTGATAGCAATAGCTCTGTTGATAACTATCTACTTAGCTAAAGAAAACCAACAGTTCTTAAGTAATGAAACACATTATTATCACTAGACTACATTGGTTCCCAAGAAAGCCACAGAATAAAAGCAGTTGGCACTTCGATGTTCAACAAGAAGCAGTAATTAAAATGCAGGTACAGTAGGACTGTTACTGGTACATGACCACTGTAATCACTAAAATGTTACTTAAGTTACCTGAATTAATTGGACAAAGCAACAATTTCAGTATCTTTGTTCTTGTACATTGACATTCCTATGCTGTGAGCAATAAACAGCAGTCTGCCATTCTTTTTCCTTTGTTTTTTGGTATTTGCATGACTTCCAAGACAGATCCATCTGTCATCTGCTGACCACTTGAAAGGCAGCAGCATCACCGAATGATTTTTTATTGTATTCCTAAAATGGACAATCAAGCTCTTTTTGTTCAAAATTACTTTGAAAAAACATACTGGTGGTTTAACATAAGTGTATGAGCTGTAAGTGTGAGCATGGTAAGAGGCAGAATAATCTGAAATGATATTTGGCTCTCAGACTCCTCCTTATGGGCAATGAAAAGTCCAAGGTAGATTCAACATGCTTGTAGTGCTTTTGGTTCTCCATTAATAGAGTCACTGTAATGTGTCAGGTCTCCAGAATATTACTTGGAGCATTCAGGAAGAGACAGTTTTCCCAGGATTGTTTTTTAATAGTGTTCTGCGTTTTGCTTTATTTTTGCCCACACCTTTCTCTGGTGCATCCAGGATTGGCCAGAGCTGAACCAGTACCCTGGAGGGGAGGAAAAATAAATCCTTTCTCTTTGCTAACAGATTGGATGGTCCTTCTCTTTCACTAAATTACTTACTCTAGGGCTAGAGGAGTTTCTGTAAATACTGTACTAAAAAGGACTTTTCAGCTTTGCTCCATGGGATGAATTTCAGAGTATTTTGATCTTTTAAACTTCTTCTCCTGTCGACTGGCTGTGGCTACTGATGGCATCTCCACTGCTCTCTTGTCTGCCAGTGACATGTGACAGCTCAGCCTCTATAGGCGAAGACACCTTAACAAAAGTCACTAACATTTACAGTTGATACACTGGATTGAAAATAAATGTTCTATAATGCAGAGGAGCTTGGACTAGATGGTTTGAGGGTTTCTTTCTGTTCTGTCCTATGTGAAGTCCAGGCTGAAAGCAGATGCTGGAAGTTTTTGTGCTCTAGTGTAGCATGAGGGACATCTCACTTTTATTGTGCCTCTTAGTGTGGAGATGGTGGTCCTTGTAGGGACTGGATTTGATGCTTGGTTACATTCTAAGAAGTTGATGTGGCTTTACAAATATATTTGTAATGTTTTTCTCACATTTATGTAGAGCTTTTACTCCTTTTCTGAAGCTTTTCTGGTTTGTTTTCTGTGTTTACAGAAAAACATGAACTACAACCGAATGACTTGGCTATCTCAAAATCTTTTGAGTCATCCAGTCGTATGTTTGTCTACCGAAAAGATCTGACTGATTCTTTGGTAAGGTTCTGTATTTTATGTTTCCCACTGTTTATTTGTCTGACTCCAGATCAAGAACTTAGTATTACTCTCTGAAGGCTTTTTCTATACATAATTTATTTTTCGCTTACCTAGGAAAGCTTATTGAGCTGCTGTGTAGCTGAAAAAAAATATCTTGCATTAGCAGCAGTTATTTGAGTGCACAGTAATGGAATTTGTTAATCAGTTTCAAATAGACCAAAGCTTCTCTACAGCTTAAATCTTTCAATCTACATGAGGCTGGAAAAGCTGACTTGTGCTGGTACAGGGGTGGATGGGATGAGGATTATTCAGGGCCCATGTCCTTAGAAACTGGGATTGCAAACTCTCTCCCTCAGTGATTTTCCAAAAACACAGTGAGGCAGGAACAGTCAGGCACTCAAATAATTACTTTTTCAGTAGTTTTCTACTAATTATGCAGATGTTTTGAGGAGAGGGCAGGGTTGGTATCACTCCTGACTTCTACATGTTGTCAGTACTGCTAGGATCTGTGCATTTATCCTAGGGATGAGAAATGTCTATTTACATTTTGTTGGATCGAGTGCCCTGGAGAGCTGACACGCCACTATCATTGTAATCTGTCATCCTGCTATCTCCAGTATTCTAGCCACCTCTAAAAATGTGAATATTAAGGAAAGGTTTCCAGTGCAGACAGGTGGCAGCCTGTTGAGTTTCATTAGTGACATAATAAAAATAGCAAAACTTGTAACTGTCAGAAATATAGCACCAAAGCAGTGATTTAACTGATAAGAAGAATCTTGGCAGATAGTTTATGTCCCAAGTTTCAGCCTGATGAGGTTAAAAAAACCCGACACAACAATTGAGAGAAACCTTTGAAAATTCAAGCTAACAATAGAAACGTCAAGTGACCCTTAACACCAGTAGTACCAGTGCACTCCACAGTAATATGCTAAGTAACTTCTATGAATCAGGACCCACAGTGTTTTACTGTTTGTTGGTGATTACATTTGGAGTAGATTAATCAAAATATGTGTGAATTTATGTTATTTGTAAAGGTAAATTGGTGGGCAACTTGTGTGTATTTATTCTAAAACCAGTGTGTTTGCAGAATTATTCTTTTGTCTTATAATACAAAAAATACCCAGTTTCTTGTTTCAGATTTTATTTTATGATGGCTTTAAGGATTTTATTTTCATTATGCTCTCTGCTTTATTGGTGTTTTATATTCAAGTTTTAGAGAAAGAGAGAGAGAGGAAGAAGGCCTAATCCAATAGGCAATCACTGATCCTATTGACCCATTTCCTGTTTCAAGCTATTTATTAAATAGGCTATAACTCTGTGACTTTGATTAGTGAGGGCAAAAAAATCCTCAGAGTGCACTTAGAAAAGATTACTTACTCAGCTTTGTTTTGTACCTTGGTCTAGTAGCTGTTTCATTGCAGAACTTCTGGCATTTGCTGAGGTTTTTTATGCTCTTGGCTGTTGATTTAGAGCCCATTTGCTGAAAATGAGGAATTGCAGCAAAGGTCTGTGAGAATTTTGGGAATCAACACCTGGGATCTTGCCTTAGAGCTAACAAACTTTGACTGGAGCCTCTTCAATGCAATTCATGAGGTAAGAAGCACCACGTCCACTTCCAGGTATATTGCTATCATGCAGCATTGTGCCATTATGATGCATTTTGGACCATCAGTGGTCCTTAATGCTCACTTCACCATCATGACAGCATGATTTGGCAGCTCTCAGTAGTGGTGGCATTGAATCAAGTCTGAGTGATGTGTTGCAATCCTTGATACTGAAAACATTTGTGAAACTTCCCTCTGCTGGGACATCTCATACGTTCCCTCTCTACCTGGTGGGATTTATTGAGATTTGCCTCAAGGGAGTAGAAGAGGATGATTATTCTCCAAAAACTGTTTGTGTGAATATGATACATATGCACATTGTCCTTTACACTTGATAATGTTCCAGTAAATACAGTACTCTTCCAATAGGTGTCCTTGATACCACTTTAACCACAAAAAAAAATCACAATTGCAGCAAGTTAGGTGGTCACATTACTGTTCTGTTAGGCTTCAGTGAGGGAAAAAAAAATACTGGGCAGGATTTTTATAATGGGATAATGGCCCACTTTGTGCCGATTGGGTTGTTGCAGTGACTTTGATAGGTTCTGGTGTGAGCTCCTAAGTAAAATAGACCATTAACAGTAAAAAATGCCACTTGAAAATAATCACTGAGAAGCATATTGGTACTTTGTGAGAAAATGAATGGGAAATTCCTGTGATTTTAATGAGATGCTTTCCTTGATCTTTCATTTCAGGTTCTTTTATTCAGGTTAGACACTGCAAATCTAGAGCTGATCGAGTTTGGGGTTGTTTGGTTTTTTTTGCACAGAAATCAATGCCCACACCTCTGCTGATGAAGGCTTGGCTATTTTTAGGAAGAAGTTTGAATGTAAAATTTTTCAGGTTCTGCAATGTTCTGACATGGTTGTATTTTCATACTGGAACGGAAGTGAAAAAATACAGAAAGAGGCAGATTATTTGTGTCCTATGTTCCTTATGTTCCATCCAGAAGTGGAACTGCAGGAAATCTCAAAAGAAAAGCATGTCCTGCAGGACTTCCAGTCCACTTGCCTACTGTAATAAGGCTCTAGGCTTTGCTAAGCCAAACCCGGACTCTCAATTATTTGTGACTAGTTTATGGATAATGAAAAAAACAATTGTTTGTAATCAGGTCTTGTTTCCAAAACATACTTGTGAATAATTTATAACTCATAACTTGTAAGTTGTTTTTATATCACTAATAATCTTGTAAATGTCTTCCAGCAAGAGCTGATATACTTCACGTTCAGCAGACAGGGCAGTGCTGAAAACACTGAGAATCTCAGTCTTCTGCTTCAAAGGTGCAACGAGGTCCAGCTTTGGGTTGCCACCGAGATACTCCTCTGCAGCCAGCTCTGCAAACGTGTGCAGCTAGTCAAAAAGTTCATCAAGATTGCTGCCCAGTAAGTGAATAAGGTTGCAACAAAAATCCTTCAATTCACATGCAATATTTGGTGGTGTGAAGCAGGTGCAAAAGCCAAGACAGAAAACTAATCTGTCGTCCTGTGTTTTAGTAGTGGAGTAAGCATACCTACATAAAACAGTCCATAAATAACAACAGCAAACACTGGCGAAAACCAGGTGTGGTAGAGTATGTGCTGCTCAGATCTCACCCAGCACCTCAGCTGCTTATCTGCAGCATCAACTGCAAGCCCCCTGATGTTGCAAAGATACCTCCTTTCTTAGTAGAGATAAGCTAGAGACCTTCTTACAAAACTATTTGAGTTGTGCACCAAAGGCCAAAAAAACCCAAAAAAACTCTGGTACAATCTTGAAAGTCCTATTCCTAGAGAGGAAACAAGATGCAGGAAGCTATTGCCCCATGTAATCCCCTCTGGAGTACTCTTTTATTTATTGGAAGGAGGTTCTTCATGAGTTAGATTTGACTGTCTATTCTTGCACTATTACTAAGTAGTGCTGCTGTTTATGTTATGCCTTGGGACAGAATACATATACACAGAGTTCTTGTCTCGGTAATCACTCTTATAATATTTAGTCACTCTTATAGCCAAGGAAATGGAGCAATTTAAATACGTGCAACCATCCTCCTCACCCCTCTCTCCACTTGTTGGTCTTCTGCAATATTTGAATATGCATGTTTGTGGAAAATGTATAATTTGTTCCTTCATCGACTGGGTTGATTTAATTTGCAGAGTACTTATATACAAAGGACTGCTCTCTGCTGAAGCAGTGCCTTTGGTGAAATGAATTATTCTAATCTAGTGTAACTCATAAATGTGATTTGATTTAGTTTGCAAATTGTATGATATCCAGTAATAACGTTCATTTTCTGCCTTATCAGTGGCCAAGTTTGGTCCAGTTACATGAAAAATGGTCGGTTCTATGTGTCTTGCTTGCACCACAGTAGGATTAATTTGCCTTCCAGGAAGAAAGTGATGTCTGTCCCATATAAGTAGTGATATATTTGTCACTAGACTAAAATGTTTCTGTATTTGAATTAATTTCATCTCTGTTAAGGGAAAAGCTAAAGTTGTGCAAACTTAATAGGGTTGTCAGTAAACAGACTCTCCCACTGCATTGCAGAAGCACCATCCTCATAGCATGTAGATGGGGAAATAGTGGATACACAAATAAGTGAGTGTGTAGTTTGCTGAGGATCTTTTTTTAATCAGAAAAGCAGCTTTTTAAGGACATTACCATGTCTTATCAATTCTGGAAGAGGTGATGAAAGACGAACAATGAGGATGAAAGGTTAGCTTTTACACAAGTGTGTCAGCACATGAAAGGCAGACAGAGTTTTTGAAACATGCTTCTATTGATAGCCAGTCTAAAATAGAAGATGAGTGATTCAATAAAGAAAATGAATTAGTATGTTGATAGAAATTAACATCCTGAGGAGTTATAGAAGCAGGTCCATGTAGGGTTAGAATAAATGGATTATAACTGCAGCCTTCTTGCTCCTCTAGCAGTGGCTGACTGTACAAGTCATGCCTTTTCTCTACAGTTCTTTGTGAGAAATGGGCCCACCCCTTTTATTCCGGCTGTCTTGGACACCTTTCTTGCTGGGGAATGAGTTACTTTTGGGAGCTGCCTGACTTTAATGGTCAAAAAGAGTCTAAGCAGCAAAGTTAGAATTAACTTTAAAACAGCTGAAGTGAGAAATATGCATTCTCAAGGTAGTACACAGAAGGAGTGCAAGCTTTGTAAAACTTGTGACAAGTGCTGGTGAGTTTCCAGCCTAAGGCCTTGGTGCACACTTTTCCCTGATGACAAAACTCAGTGAAGGCAGTTCATTAATTCTTACTTAAACTTATCTTAAAAGAGGATCTTTGCTCTCCCCCATGCATGCATGCTTATAGTGCTCTTCAAGAATCTACGAGAGAAAGGGGCATCTTTTTCTTTGAAAGGACTTGGTATTTCAGGATTTCAAATTTCCTAATGGACTAGAAATAAGCAGGGTCTGATCATATATAGTAAAATGTCAAAGAACAGAGGTATCAAACAAATTCTGTAGGGACCTATATTGGAACCAGTGCTAACTCCAACTAATTTATAGGGATATTTAAATTGAACATTAATCAGATTTTCAGACAATAAAAATGATGAGGGATTTCAAATGCATTGGAGGATATTAAAAAAAAAAAAGTGATCTAAGGAGTCTAGTGACATGTGCAAACAACAGTAGGATAAGATTTAATTTAGATAGACACAAGTAATTCAGCTAGGGAATGTTAATACTGAGCTGAAGAAATAAATGCATGATTGTAAAGAACAGTACAGTGACAGAGGTCCTTGGGTGATAATAGGTGACAAATTAAAGGCAAGGACAAAGTGTGATGCTTTCCAAACAAATAATTTTATATTATATTATTTAATATTTTATACTTACACAGGAGTCTCCTTCACTGGAGACATTCAAAACCCACCTGGACAAGTTCCTGTGTGATGTGCTCTAGGTGACTCTGCCTGGCAGGGGGGTTGGACTAGATGATCTTTTGACGTCCCTTCCAACCCCTAAGATTCTGTGATTCTGTGTAAAATCTTACATGCAAAATAGTAATTATGTTTCTCCTTCCCTCCCTGCTGTCTCACTACATCTCCTTTGTAAGAAGGAAGCACAGGAGAGAAAAGTGAAAAGAAATTACAAATAATTCAATGAAGGATAATAACAGTATGGAAAAATAGATTGCAGGCCCTGACCACAAAGAGAAATTGAAGGAACCAATGATGTACAATTCAAAGAAAAGATGAAAAAGGAGATGAAAATGTTTATAATACAACAGAATAGAGGTCAATGAATTATTCTGTATGGTAAAGGACAGCTGAGACTAACTTGAACATCGAAAAGGGAAAATTACTTTTGACATCAAAGAGAAAAAAATAACCTGCCAACAACAGAGTTGATGAGACAGTGGAATGTTTGCTAAAAAACTTCTTAGAGACCCCTTCACCTAGACTGCAGGTGGTCATGACAGGACATTTAATGAGTTCATTATGTGGAATATGATTGTATGTTGGTGCTGAGGATTGAAATGGGACTCAGTAACCTAGGATACCTTTGCATTCAATTTACCTCTGATTTTGAGTAGGAAAAAAATCAGAATACAGTATTCCTATTTTTATTTCACAGCTGTAAAGCCCAAAGAAATCTGAATTCATTTTTTGCTATTGTTATGGGTCTCAACACTGCATCTGTCAGCCGACTGTCTCAGACCTGGGAGGTAAGATGCATCTTTATTTCTTTTATACCTTGTAAAAAATATTTCTCACAAAATTGATATACTGGTGAAGTAACTTTTCTTTTTAATGATTGGTTTTTTGTGCTGAAATCAATCATGGAGGGGGTATCTTTAGAGAAACTCCTTTGTGACCTGAAACCTTGGATACACGTCTATTCCAATAAAGCTCAGTATGTCCTTTTAGAGCTTTTAAATAAGAACAATGCAAGGAGATCTTACCCTTAAAAAAAAAAATAAAAAAAAAAAAAGTGATGTAAATTATTCTAGCACTTTAAGTAGATGTGAGAACAGAAAATGTGGGGGGCTCCAAACAAGCAATACCTTATTATGGAATAATTTCACTAAAAAAAACCCAACAAAGTAGAAATAAATCCTCTTTAGTTCTCCTTGATCAGTTCTTTTTCAGGTGCTCATTTTGAATGACAAAGTTAGGAAACAGGCCATGAATAAGGAGCACATTGGAGAACACTTCTTAATAAGCTATTGGTTGCTAGACAGAACATGGGGTGTTTAGAGGAGGGTCCCACTGGGTTCTGCATTTTTATTGTGGAATATCTTTTTTTCATCCAAGTAAAAATAATTTATTCAGTGGTAGCATCTGCAAGTTTACTGCATGTGCTGATGGAACAAAAAATTGGGGAAGGAGTAATTAGTGTGATGGGGTGAAGTTTTATCCCACCACCTTGCCCCTAACACCACAAGTGGGCAGTTCTCTCAAGTATCAGTGTGTAACACAAAGCGACAGAACATGTGATGCCTTAAAGATGGTCTTGAGCACCAGCAGCTGAAACCAAACATCCGTCGGAGACTTACAAAACTATCTGATACTGTCCAGAGAAAAGTCTTTCCCTTTAGCTGATATCATGCACATGGAAGCATCATCATCTGTGTCAGTGGCTTCAACATGGAGAGAAACAAGGGCAGTGACTGCTTCTGTGGGGAGGGTCTGGTAGGGGCTTGGAGAGGCCAGCAGGGGCTAACTTTAAATAACAGGTAAAACAAAAATTTTAGAGAAAAATACATAACTGAGGATGACAATACAGAAACCCTTTGTCTCTCCTATTCTAAAAAGCTCCCTACGGCAGCTTTTGCCCTTGCCTGCTCTTACGGGTTGCATTCAACTCGTTTCTCTGCGCTTTGGTAGGAGAGTGAAAGGGACTAAATATTGTATCAAAGGCACCTGGTGGCAGTGGTGTAAATCTCTCCTGCATGGAAACAGAACTCTGCTGTGTGATGTGAGACATCTGGAGGTCATCTGTGGCTGGTGGACTTCTCTCAGGAAAAGCAGAATATATTGCTTGTGGGAACAAGGAGTGCATCTGCATATGGGTTGTTGTAAACATGTCATATTTCTGTTTGTGAAATATTTATGGAGTCACATGCATTTATTTATTTTTTTAATTCGTAAAACTTTACTGCACTGGAAGTTTCAGAAGCAGAAGGTTATTTGCATTAGTAATGTGAATTTGAGAAAGTAGAACAATGTTTATAAATTAATTATAATTACTTATGCATGTAAATGAAGCCACCTAAATTTAAGCAACCATTTAGACACTAAATTATATTGTCTCTGCACTTGAATTCTTAAGTATTATGCTCCCAAGCATATTCTTCTGCTTTTTTTCCTACAGCATGCAGTGTTTTAATGAGCTTAACTTTCCCTGATTGAGGATCTTAAAAATGTGCAATTGCAATAGCATGTTCAGTTATTTTAGCATTTTCATCATACAGCTCATCATCCATTTAATCTTAAATGTTCTAAATCTATTTTCTCTTGGTAGTGTCATTGTGACTGTCAGAATCTAAGGACAAAGTAAAGACAGGATTTTTACTAAGAGGAGATATCTTCTACTAGACTAGTATGGTTGGAAAAAATAGACAGGATTTAAGGTCCCCACACTTGGAGTCCAAAATACCAGCAGAAAAAATCAAACTGTAGAACACTTGCTCTGATTATAATGAGCTGAATCCATTAAAGCATTTTAGCAATAAAGGAAGCAAGTGCTTGTGGAGCAGAGCAGGTGTTAGCATGTGGGACAAGAAGGTAGCTTGTGTCTGGACTTTGTGCACCTCCATGTGGGATTAGGATGAGATACTAGAGATGAAGTAATACTTTGTTAAGGAAAGATCTCTTGTATGGGAACAACCTGGTCTAGTGGGAGGTGTCCCTGTGTTTGCTGGGGTGTTGGAACTAGATGATCTTTTAGGTCTCTTCCAACCCAAATCAGTCTATGATTCTATGATTCTGTTTCTAACTTGGTATGGTTATTAAGGTGAATGCAGCAGATGTGGAAGCTAGGGAATTAAATAAAAATGCCTGCTAACAAGTAGTTTCCATAGAAGATGGATGCAGGTCCCTGAGGAGAGGCTGCAGGGTCTGGTGCCACGCTCAACATGGTCTATAATTAGGGCTCTTGGAGCTGAGGAGCAGAGGTTAACTGCCTGTTGGTACTTTTAGCAGATGCTTCACACATGGAAGTCTCATGGAAAAAAAAGCCACAGCATTTTTCTGCCTATGTTAAGTTTTTTTAAAAATACTTTTTTTTTTTTTTTTCCCCTTTTTCCCCCCAGAAAATTCCTGGGAAGTTCAAGAAACTTTTCACAGAGCTTGAAAGTTTGACGGTAAGTCCGGTGTTGAGCAGCATTGCTTTTCTTTACCTGCCTTCCTACTACCTCATTTCTTTGGAGGTTGTCTATCATTGTCTCAAGCTAGAATTTGTCATGTCAGACATGTGATTTGCCAAAGGCCACGCAGCCCCTGAGAGCTCAGAGGTGGTCTCCAAACATTAAAAGGAAAAAGGCTATATTCCTGGCAGCTGGAGGAAGGGCACAGAGAGGCGAATGTAGCGTCAGTTCCCCAGCATCAATTTGAAAGCTGATCCTTTGCCATGGTGGTTAATCAGCCTTTATCCAAAGCAACGTGCTGCAGATCAGGAGATCTGAAGGATCTCAGGAGATCTCCTTTAGGCCAACTGAAGTTTTACAAAAAAAATCTGAATCTGAGGCTAAGGGTCTTTGTCACTGTTATCAAAGCTGAATAAACAAATATCTCCTCTGGCTGTTATGGAAGTGGGTGCATGGTGAGATCACTGCCTGGTGCAGGGAACTTGAGAGCCAGCCTTTAACAGCTGTCATGCTTCTGTATTTAGAGTCCTTTATAAATTAATGTGTTTTCAAGATTGTGTGTGAGCTGGTGTACAAAAATGTTTGTTTATATGGGAAATGGAGATGACTTTTTCAATTACTTACACAACACTGAAACATACTCTCCTATTTTCTTTGAAAATCTCCAATGTGCTACTTTGATCTGAGAGCAGTTTTTGTTGGGATTTTTTTGGGTTGTTGTTTGGTCTTGTTTTTTTTTAAAGAACGAATTAATAAGGGATATTTATGGGATACATTTTGTGCTAGAGAGGAAGCTGAAGAGATTTTTGCTTATAGAAATTTGTGGGGAAATTACAGAGCAGTCCAAGTGAATCTGTTCTGCAGCTTACTTCCATTTTTGCACTGCTTCATCTAGGGGAATGTAATTGCTTTTGTTCCTCTCACTGTTTACGTTTCCTGTTCAGTTTAGTAAGTCACCTAGCTGAGAAAACCTTTATCTACCTCATTTCCCAAAGAAACCTTTTATATCTAAATCATGTTCAGATCATAAGCCCGTAACGGATTTAGAATTGCTCTTTTTATAGCCTATTGATTTTTCTCTCTATTACCCAAATGGTTTTGTAGGACCCTTCTCTGAATCACAAAGCTTACAGGGATGCATTCAAGAAAATGAAATCTCCGAAAATCCCCTTCATGCCCTTACTTCTGAAAGGTAATGTTAAAGCTTGGCTGTTCTTCTTCATTGTGGTTAATTAAAATAAGTGTCAGGTGATTTTTCTTTCAGGTGGCCTTATTATAAGTATGTGACAGCTGTAGAGATAGCACTTGGTCAGTTTGGCAGTTTTCACACAGGTTTTCAAACTTTGGTACCTTCCTATCAGGTGTGGGTAGAGCTATGTGGCATTGCTTTGGCCATGCCCTCTTCAGTGGAGAAGTAAAACCCTGCAAACCCCTGACGGGGGCTGCCCAGCTGTGCTGGGTGCACCCACATAAGTGGCCTAGGCCACACTAATGGGCTCAGATGCTTGCCCAGGTTCTCTGGGGTGAAACTACTGGTGTCATCCTGAAAGCAGAACCTGCCCTGTCTATCCTGAGAGGAGGGGATTTTCAAGTCTTACAGGTCTGAAGAGATAAGTAAAAATCTCACTATTAAAAAAAAAGAAAAAAGAAAAGAATCTCTTAAAATAAAATACAACAACATCCTTAACACAGTGAGCTGGACAGCTAATTAAGTGGCAGGTATTAAAAAAAATCCATTGTCTTGGAGTAATTAATTATTAATCGCTTTCTCTTTGAACATGGCAAATTCATTTGATTATTCCTGTTTTCTGAAAGTGTTCTCTTTAGGCTGTTTATTCCAACCTGCTACTGCTGCGAGTTTGAAATGTTTGAAGACAGTTCTCCAGATCAGTTGGTGACAGTTCAAGAGCCGTCAGGCATTTCCCCTCTTTGCACACATCAAAGGAGTTTGCATTATTCAGCTGGATACAATTATCAAGGCTTAAAAATCAATATTTTTAAAGTTTCTCAAGTATGTCTTGCCTGCAAACAAAGGCAGCAAACATAAGTAGCAGTGATGTTTGTGCAGCACTACAATGTGTTGTGTAAGAACATGCACGTAAGCAGCATTCATGTCCCTAAAATGTATAGGAGAAAGCAAGGAGACTTTGCAAAATAATCCAGTAGTTTTCTTCAGTGCAGTGCTCCCTCAGGAAATGTTGCCAAGGTTGGTAATTCCCGAAGAATTGCACAGCACATAGGACTTCATTCCATGTCAACCATGTTTTTATTAAAGTTATTTCCAAGACCAGTAAAATAAACTTTGATAGCATAGAAATCATTAGTCACTCAACAAATTACTGTATTTCAACACAAAAGGAACAACCATTTCAAGAAAAAACTGAAGACCATTAATAACCCTTCTTTAATTATGAAAAGTAACTTTTAGAGTGTCCTTTTAAAGTTAATTAAATGTAAATGTGGAGCTCTCTTACAGCACACAGACACAGCTTTTGAAAATCAGGCAGATTTTTCAAATCTCTAATAAAATATTGTGATGTACCCTTACAAAATAGCTTAGATGCAATTTTCTGCTCCATTGGGTTTATCTAGACTCCTAGTTGTTGGCTGCAAAGCAAATTTCTATTCCTTCCACCCTCAGAGATATGTACATTGCTGTCATTGACTTCAAAACCTGTGTGGGAATTTCCACTTCCAGTGAAAGGTTTTCATTGGAAGTGACATTATTTTTACCTGTGTTGATACAGAGGCAAGTAATGCCTGTGTCCTGAAGCAAAGTCCTTTCCCTGTCCCTTTCCCTGGGTGCCCCACAGCAGCCCAGCCAAGGAGGTGTAGAGGTTTCTGCTCCCTCCTTTACCCCTGATTTTTAGGATGCTGCCCAGGGGCAGAGAGGTGCTGGAGGCAACCCCAGCATATTCCATGCTCACCTCACTTACTCAGGAGTGCTGGTTGGACACGGAGAGGCTGGGCTGGCATCATACCTGCTCCAGGCAGATCCCAGCCCGGCAACCCTGGAGGCACAGGAGGTCTCCATCACACCTCACACAGAGCTCTTCCTAATGAGTCCCAGCCCCAGGTTTCCACCAGCATGTTAAGCTGTTAACATTTTCACTCTAAGCAATTATAAAACGCCCCTTCAACACAGAGCAAGTCTTGAAACAAAAGGAAATAAATCAGGCTGGCTGTTTCAGGGGAGGATGAAGGTAGTGGGGTGGGCTGTGGTGGAAGGGTTGACAAAGCAGCGGCAGTGGGCATCAGAGTGAGTCCTAGGGATGATGAGTACAGGAGGAATGCTGAGATGTTCAGTTAGACTGGTGGGCTGGGGATCAGCACCTCTGCTGAGAGGGAGATGTATCCCCTTTACTGTGTGCCATTTCCCTGCTGGCAGACACAGCTGTGACTGTTAAGAAGTAATGGTATCAGAGTGCTGGCTCATTAAAGTAGTGTTGTCTCCTCCTGGTACGTGGGGGTATCTGCACATCCAGGAGATGATAGGGGGCATGGTGCCTCTGCTCCTGATTCTGTTTTCTGTGACCTGGAGAATGCACTATTGGAGGCAAAGCTTCACTCCCCATGGGGAATCTGTCCATGTCCTTGGTGCTTCATGTCCAAAATAGGTCTCATTTTGTGTCCTAATATGCATTAGGAAAATGAAGAAAATAAACTGAAGTTACTGTTGTAATTGTAATCTTAATTTAGCAACATTTGTTTCGCCTGATATTCCCTCTTCCCCCAGTTCATTACACTGTGTTCAGTTCCCTTCCTGGAGCTAAATATAGACCTTTTCCTTTTCCCCTCACTGACCTTTTTGTTGCCTTTACAAAGTTTCTCCAACAACAGTCTATAAAAGTGTTTTTCCCTAGCTCTAATGTTTCTTTCAAGGCTTTGAACTTTAGTTTGGTGGCTTGTGTTTAACCTCCCCGGCTGGCCACTGCTGTAGCCTGCATCTCTTTGGGGGACTTCAGAGTCATGATGTCCCACAGAGAGAGACAAAGGAGTGTCAGAGCCAACTCCAGTGCCTGACAGCTCTGCTACATGGAGCTCTGGGCTCAGGCACCAGGCAACCCCAGCCCAGGCACAGCCATGGGCAGTGTAGCCAGATGGGTGCCACAGGGTGCAGAAAGCAGTCATGCCATGCAAGGGCCATCCCTCTGGATGCCCCCAGCTGCTCCCAGCCACCCTATGTATGATATGCACCCCAGAAGTAACACAGACCAGGTTTAATAAGAAATCCATGCTCCTGCTTGAAAATCGTCTTGTTACCATGTATACACAGTGTTGCTATCTGATAATCTCTGCATGTCATTATAACAGGCTTTTGTTCCTTGTTGTCAGTTATTATGTCCTTAATGGGATGTTTTCCTCCTTTTTTTTTTTTTTTACTTTTTCCTTTTTCTTTCCCCCCCCCCTTGTTGCCCTTTAGTAATTAACTTCTTCATATTACACAATAAACAAAGCCATGAAAAGTAATTATTTTTCCTTTATTTTTTCAGACGTAACATTCATCCATGAAGGAAATAAAACTTTTCTGGATAACCTTGTTAACTTTGAAAAGCTGGTAAGCTAATTTTATCTTTCCTGTTTTTTTTTTAAAGAAATTCACATTCTCCTCTTCCCTTTCCCCTCCTTATCTTGTAAGACTAAAACATTCTCTTCTGGCTGAATCAGGAAGAAGTAAACAGGGGTAAAAAAGAGCAAACAATATAAAACAGGCAGCAGTTTATCTCTCCTGCCTGTTTCCTCTGCTCCTCTTCTCATCCTTCCTCCCCCAATTCTGTGTAAAATGCCCAGCATCAATACCACACAGTCCATTCAGTTTTCTCTCCTTTGCAAAACATCCTGGCCTATTTCTTCTCAGTTAAATTCTCCTGCTTCAGTGTTCTCTGAATTATGTTTCCTTTCTGTTTCTCAAGTCACTAAAGAAAAGGTTTCTCTAGTTTAACACTTGCCAATGGTATGCTAATTCCAGGGATCTTAAATTAAAGTAATTTTTAAAAATCCAGGTTAGATAATGAAGATAACATCTGAAATATGAATTATACTGATTGTAAATACCACTATGCTAACATATGTAGAAGGACACTTACTGGCATTGTATCTTTGACCACGTCTGCTCTGGAATTCATATGACATCTACTCTGGCATAATATTGCTGATAGAGGCTTGATTTCTCTTTATTTTAATTTTCCATTTCTTTGTCAATAATATTTTTGTAGCACTGAAAACTACAGTTTATCTATCTGAATGGTGGTGGAGTGGAGAAACTGATTTTTTAATATTTAATTATTTTTTTTTTGCCTGGAGTATTTGAACAAGAAACCAAAATGTTCTTCCCAATTGCTCCAGATGTGCTATTGGACAGTTACTCCAGGTGGCTGTGCCTGATGAAATGTTCCCAACTATTTTCTCCATGCATTTACACTTGTTTGAGAATGAATATGCAACAATGGGGTTGTTAATGAATCAGATGTTGAATTTATTTTCACATCCTGTCATAATATGCATGGTCTTTTAACTCGCAAGCAGATGTAGACTGACTTTGGAACCTGAGCTCCTCTTTTTGTGTTTTGGGTTTTGTTTTTTTAAAAATTTGATTTCTGTACCTTTTCTTGTAGAGTTTACAAGAACACTGGTTCACATTTAATGAAAGGTTTTCTTGTCCCAAGTCCATTAATTGTTTGACCTTGAGGTGTTTGCATAAAGCTCATTAGCATGTTCTTCTTCATTGCCCCTTGGAAGTGCACCCAATTAACATGTAAATTAAACTAGCCCTTGATGCACAACAATTGTTACTAAAATCCTCCTATTGGCTCATATATTTATTTAGTGAATACTTAGGATCTGATTCTTGTTCCAGTCTTAACCAGACCTTGTTAGTTAGTTAGGTTGTTGTTTAATCATTTCTTGTTCCAGTCTTAACCAGACCTTGTTAGTTAGTTAGGTTGTTGTTTAATCATGTATATGTTTAATGTGTGCTGGGTTTGCTTGGTAAGATTTCCTATCCTTGCTGTTACCATTGTGTCTCCAGAGGCAGTGGGAGCTTTGCTAATTGACTTCAGTGAGCCGAGAACTTCACCTTTTCCATGCAAATGGATAGTGGGCGTTTTAAATGGTGGGGGGGAGAGGCTGAGGTGATGGTGGTGGGGTGAGGGTTGTTCAAACTGACACTTCCCCCAAATTATTAGTCAGATCACGCCCTCAGGAAGTGCTGTCTCAGGGAGTCCTGTGTACACATGAATGCAGGCAGTAGTGCAGCTTAGGAAGTGGAGGCTTAGGAGAGATTTAAATATGAGTGTAGTGGAAACTCAGGCAGTAGGTATTAGGCTGGTTTGTTTGCATGCTAAGGTATTTAGTCAATGCGTATGAACTTACTAATGAGATGCATCACCCATGATCACGTTTACATCAGTTCATGTTTCTGTTGTAGTTATAAGGGCTTTGTCACAAGGAATAACATTTTCCTCAGTGTTCTATACTGTGCTGAGCATTTCTGACCTCTCATGAGAAAAATTAGGGTTGACATTGACTCCTTCTTAATTTGGATCAAGCCACTGAACCTCACCTGCAAATTTGCTGTTGCAGAAAAAGAAGAAAAGAATTACTCTACCAGAGCAGATTGCTGCTTGGGGGAAGAAACTTACTGTTAGAAATGCATAGAATTTCCATTTAGGAATTTCAAAGCAAAGATGGTTTCTTATGTCTCCATTTCAATTACTAATTTGAAATATTTTGTTTCTGCATTACACACCTCACCTGAAGGAGGACTTGTCAGTCTGAACCATTGTTTTTCCAACTATATCAGTCAGTTTAATAAAATATATTCTCTCTCCCCCCCCATTCCCTGCTTCTTTTATATTCTTAAATCATCATGGCCTCAACAATCCTAATGTGACTGAACTTGATTTGACATGACATGACTGCAGTGAAGACAAAGTTAATTCTAAATGTAAAGAAAGGAATTTGCAAAGAGAAGGAAATGAAATTGTATTTTGTCTCAGGAGTGTAACCTAGTTTTAGCAAGAGTTGAAGGGGTTGTAGTGGTTTATTTAACTTCACGTTGGGTAAACTCTAACGTGGTAGATTGATTTTTATTACCATATCTACTTCCTTCACTAAATCTGAAGGAATAAATGAAAATACAGCTTTCTGTTGTTGCATTTCAAGGTATTTCTATGGTATTATTGAGCTGTTTCACTGAAATGTTTATTCAGATATTTTTTCCTCCAGTCAGCCATCACCCATATCTTAGCCATGACATGTCTTAGCCACACTTCAGCAAACTCTAATACAGGTCAATGGCTATTACCATTCTAGAGAACACCTTCTTACCTAGTGCCTTCAGTTGTAAGGTCTGTGTACATGCAGCTGAAGGTTCTTAGCCCCCACTCCCTCAAATACCTGTGCAATTCCCAAGCTTGAGTTGCTAATGATCCTAGGTAGCCAGTGAGCTGAAAGACCACAAGAAATGTGTGTTTCTCATCACACTAATGGTATGCAAGCAGCTGTTTCAACAGCCAGGAAATAGCATTTGCTTTGCAGATGAATTGGCTGATTTTCTGCATTACAGTTGGATCTCAGAGAGTTGCAAATGGACAGAGAGAAATGCCTAATTAGGCTACTAAATAAGAGAGATTTGGGATTCTGCTTTAAGGAGGTGTTACACAAAGATATTCTTCCCTCACTAGGCCTCACCAGGTCACCCTCAGAAGCTAGTCTGGGGATGGACCCCTCACACTGACAGACTACAAAGGAGAAACAGCAAAGAATGACAGTGTGTAGGAAAATGGGATGTCTCTTACTTTTAAAAGCCAAATGCAAAGGGTATCAGCTGCAAAACATCACAGCAGCAGCACTGGTGGAAGTTGTAGCTCTCCCAGTACTCACACTATTGACTATGAAATCTAGATATTCTCATTAGAACTTCATTATAATCAGTGCAAGAGATTGCATGATTTCGTGGCAAATGAAGCACAGCAGGTAACAAGAAAAATTATTTTGATTCACTGATGAAAGGAACCTGAAATTTCCATTAAACATGTTCCTGTGTGTGGAGGAGCCTTGTAAGCCACTCTCTGAGTGTTGAGAGATGAGCTCTTCTGCGTCATTCCGGGCTTAAGCATACTCTGCTCAAGACAGTTAATCCTTTCCACCTCTGATTATTTTTGAAGGAGATGCAAGAAGAGCATCAGCTTTTTGCATGAGCTAGTATGTAATTCCAGCTGCAATTTGTTTAAAATTAGTAACTTGATTTGGTGAAGAGTTGCCAGTTTCACCTTTATACCACAGGAACAGACAAATAAAGAAAAGTGAGTAATGCCTCAAGAACTTTATGGGTGACATCTAGTGAAAATGAATGCAGTTGGTTTGTTTATAGTGAACAATTCCGTTTGTGTAAGTCAAAGACCTGAGCCTGAATGAGAAACCAAACTTAAACCTTTTATTTTTTCTGCCTAATCTAAGTGGACATCCGGTATCTGTTAGCACGAGCTTGTCCTAAAATCGCATGCCTATCATAGAATACGCTGAGTTGGAAGGGACCCATCAGGGTCATTGTGTCCAACTTCTGTCCCTGTGTAGGGCACCCCTAGAATCATACCATGTGCCTGAGAGCAGCATAAAAACATTTATTGAACTCAGGCAGGCTTGGTGCTGTGACCACTTCCCTGGAGAGCTTGTTCCAGTGCTCAACAACCCTCTGGGTGAAAACTCTTTTCCAGATATCTAACCTAAACCTCCCCTGATTCAGCTTCCTGCCATTTCCCCAAGTCCTGTCATCGGTCACAGCAGTGAAGAGATCAGTTCCCCTCATGAGGAAGCCAGAGACTGCAATGGGCTCACCCCTCAGCCTCCTCTTCTCCGAGCTGGATAATCCAAGTGACCTCAGCCACTCCTCATAAGTCATCCATAGAATGGTCTTTGGTACCTGCCTGTGGAGGTGTCAGGGTGTTTGCTCTCCAGCACTGAGGCTGTGGGCTGTTTTATTGTATTGGTTCCCTGCAGAAAACTGCCTGTTACTGATGCCTGATTGTGCTAGTCCTTACACAAGTATACATTAAGGTGTAACCTGTGCCACAAAGGGCTTACAATCTAATTAGACACCACCTGGAAATGGAAGGAGAGGTTACAGACTACCAAATGTCCCAGACAATGCACTAAAGCCAGGTGTTGAACTCAGAAGAGCCCACAGAGTCCACACAATTTTCCTGCTGTAGGTTTTCAGCTTAATAAGTCACTGGAACAAAACCATGCAATTGTTTAGCTGTTTTTCATTACCACTTTCCATGGACTCTCAGAGAGTTGTTCTTATTTAATCTGTGTGATATCGATTAGGACCTTATAGACTAACCCTGTTTCATCATGTATGATTACTAAGAACAAAGTCTTTCTCCTGCTGTCATAATCTTTTACCTTATTACAGCTGCTTTTCTGTGTAGTATAGGACAAGGAGATTTTTTCAGGCTTTTCTAATGAGAGTATTAATCTCAGATTTTTGCACTGACATTGTGTATCTTCTCTTTGAAGCACATGATTGCAGATACTGTTCGGTCATTGAGACATTGCAGAAATAACCAGTTTGGTGAGTAGCCAAAATTTGCTACTAATTTTGCCTTTGTAAGCATTGACAGTGTTTTGTTTTCTTGTTGTTGTTTTTTTTCTTTTTTTTCACTTTCTCTGGTTTCCTACAGCAACAAAATGTGATTGCCAATTATTTAACCAATTGGCAAGAGGGGGTGTCATTGTTGGAAGGTCAGTATTGCAGAAACCACAGCTGGATGACATTTTGCATTACAAATCATTTGCAGAAACAGCATCCAACTGTATTATAAATTATTTTCCTGCAAAAAATATCACCTCTTCAAAATAATGTGTAGGATCTGTTCCAGCTGCACTTCAGAATGGGGGCTCTGATGTACACTGCTCTTTCTCACTTTCCCAGCCATAGCCAAGTTACCTCAGTCTCCCACTAGTCTATGTGTTTGGGTAATGGAATCACAGCTGTCTTGGCTGCCAGTAGCTGAAGGATGGTATTAATCAGCACAGCTTTTCACTTGGCTTTTCACCAAGACCAATTGTTTGCTTAGTTTGGTTTCTTAAGGAGTTTTCACAAAAAGTCTTGAAGATAGTAAGATCCTCTGGGTTTTGTGAAAGTAGTTGACTAGGTAGAAGAGAGGGTGTTAGTTCCCCTGCTATGGAAAGCCTGCTAAGAGACCTCTGCCTGGTTTAAACTCAGGAGGATCTGTGCTGATGGGAACAGCTACCAGTGCCTCAGCTGCATGAATGGGGTTGGTTTGTTTTTTTCTGTTTCCACCTTATTAGCCACCAGAGAATCTACCCCTATGGGAGCATGCCAGAAGACTCCAGAAGACTCTGCTCACAGAGGACAAACCTTGTTTTTCTCCTTCTCAGCATTTCTCATTCTCTGCAGAGAGGTTAAACACATGAAGGAAACAAACACAACACTACTTTAGGAACTGGTTAGAGTTTTTAAGCCAAACCCACTAAACATGTTTATTGGGGCCACTAAAACCTCTTTTTCAAAGAAAAGTTCAGAAAAAAGCTTTAATAGCTACTTTTTGCCAGCTAAGTTTTCAGCAGCTGTCAGCATTGATTCTGACAAAAAGAAAATTAATCATAATTTTATATATAAATACATGTACCTTGGGCAATGATAGGTACTGCTAAGAATTTTGCTCACCATTTGTTCTATAAAATTACCTTGTGTATGCACAGTCTTTTTTTTCTGTAAACAAAGACTGGTTACTGTTATGGTTCTTGTGTTATTTTTGTATAGTTTTTTTATATATATACATAAAAGAGAGGGAAAGGGAGAGAGAAGGACATGCTGTTTGTTTATTTCTGTTAAACCAGATACTGAAAGAAATATGGATTAAGCAAAACCATGGCTCTGTAAATTAGAATGACTGTTATTTGGCATTATAAAGTATAGCATTGGTTCCTTTTCATGATGTGATTTTTATTTTTGCAACTTCTTTGCAAATCTTCTCATTTTTGCTTTTTTTTTTTTCTCTGAGTGGTTTTGTAAGTGTTACAACATAAATCCAAGGTTAATACCTGAGATTTAACATATAATCTAGTAGTTTGAAGTATGTGATTGTTATTTTATTTTATCACAGACTTGATTTATTGTGAAGCTGACATGTAAAAAGCAGCTTATACAGACATCCCTGTAGGCACTTTTTTTTTTCTTAAATTCATTTAGGCATGAAATGAATTCACTGAATATTTATTGAGACTTTATGGACAGTTTCCTTTTCCAGTGGGCTTATTTTATGCTCAGGAATATGAATCTTTCTACTGCATCAATTTCCAGATTGGCCTAATAGCAGCAGGCATCTCACTGTAGGGAAGAATTCAAAGAAAACTAAGCAAGGAATATTATTATTGTTTATGAATGGTATCATATGTACTAAACTTGCAGGCCAAAATCTTTCTGGATTAGAAACTGGTGAGGTTCCAAGCAAGACTGAAATGCCTTTTTAATGGAAATAATACATTTATATCCTATTTATATCCTATTTGAAAACAAATGCAGCAATTCCAGAACCAGACCAAGCAGCCTGAACAAATAGCATGGTTTAAGGTTTTGTCATTTCAGGTGTTAATGAGAAATACAAATTTTTTTTCAGTATGTCCATCACAGCTGCTGGGATCCTATTTCCTCTGAACACAAAGGTCGTCTCTGTATCCTAATACAAATTTATTGCATTGTCCTGTTTTCTCCCACATTTGTCAAGTCAAATAGCTGCTCAGAAATAGCTCCTAAAGATAGCTGCCGAGGAGCATCGCCTGGTACCTACATGGCATCAAACCACACTCTTTAGAATCAAGTGGATGGTTGGTTCCTGGAAAGCTTCTCATGTAGCTGGAGAGTGTGGATGACAGGATGATGATGAAACAAAGGAGAAGGAGGGAGTGTGCGAGTTAAGCTGATTGGTTCAGGGAATTTTGAGGGGGGTTCTTTTTTAATTTATGGTAATGATATTAAAAATTGCTTGAGGTTATGGACTAGAGCAGAGCTGTCCAACCTTCATTCATTTTTCAGCAGTCAGCAACATGTAAGAAATTTATCTTGTTGTTTTCTTTGCCTTTCTTGATGGGTCTTGTGGCCACGGGCCTAGTTTTTCTTTTCCATTTCTGCTGACCACCAGCCATGCTGGAGGGTTTCACAGACAGCAAGATCCCCCAGTGCAATGTCAGGTGGAAAGTTTGTAACAGAAAACATCTGCTATTCAAGCCACCCTTCAATTTGTCTGTTACAAAGCTAATTCCTCTTGCCCTGTAAACTCCCATAAAATGACAGCATGACTCTTGTCTCTGTTACTAGATCAGAAATCAAAAGCATAACAGATCAAAACATGGGGTCCTGTTAGAGCAGCTTTGAAGAGCTTTTGTACCTGTCTCCTGTACTGTCACCTTCCACCTGCTCTGAAGGAAATTATTTGGAGGTCTGCTGTCTTGCGTGCTTGTGTTAGGGCTGTTTAAAACTTACTGGCTTCATCTTCCACCCCTGCTGAAGACTGTGTTGTGCTGCCAGAGCAGCACAAAGGAAACCTTGAACCACCCTTACAGGAGTTGGACTGCCTGTACTGCCAGCAGGAGTAAATTTTCCACTTGGGAAGAATCAGCTTCTTGCCATTCCTTGTCCCTCCTTCATGCATGCTAGCTGCCCAGGACTGTCTGCTTCTTTCTTTCTTCTTTCTTCTCCCCCTTTCTGTATCTACCTGACTTGAATAGCAGGTCCTTTGCATCACTAGCAAATCTCTTTTGTGACTGTGTAGCACTTGGGAGGTTGGCACACCAGGGACTTTGTAACATACAGGACAGAGAATCAGGCAAGATGTGGCTTTCTGATTCATCCCTTTTCTCCTGTCTTGCAGGCAATGAAGTTCCTTCAAAAGAGCATCATGAGCTGAAGCCATACGTCCATCACCTGCATGTCATCGACAACCAGCAAGCTCTGTTTGAGCTTTCTCACAGGATAGAGCCGCGAGTCTGAGCATACACAGCTTCATATAACCTTGTAACTGCAGCACTTTGAATTAAGTGAATGTTTATGCCAAGCATGTTGCTTCCCTATATAAGAACAGTTTACTGAGTTTTATCAGTAGCTCACACAACATGCGCAGGAAAATCAGGCAAGAGCCAGCAAAGGAGCTGCTCACAGAGTTGCAGGGCAAGCTTGGTGCCATCCTTGCTGGTCACTGGGACAAGAGGGAACAAAGCAGCATCCTTTGAGCTCGGGAGCTTGGTTTCTGTTAAAATATTGTTTGGTCCAGTGTAGCTTTCAATGCAGATTCTGCCAGTATTAGAATGAAAGGAAACGTCGTGTCTCCGCAGCAAAACATTGCAACAAGCAACATGGCACATGGATTCTCAGTTCACCACAGCCTGTACCTCGCTAATTCAAAGCTGCCAAAGTATTGTTGCCAAAAATACCATGCAATTCATGCAGCTCCCCTGAGTCCTCCTGAGCATCTTATTTGAGATAAGTGCGGACAACCAGGAATGGGAACATAAAAAGACAGTGCACCGGATGAAACTGATGTGGAGATCAGCAGTAAACACTTCATGCTGGAATGGCCTCTTAAGAATCTGCTTCATAGAAGACACTGTAAGAGCCAATCCACTTTTGTTACAATTTATAGATACAATTGTTTGTACACTGAAAACATATGATTTTCTTCCTTTTCAGTTATCTCAAATTTAGCACCAGCTCCTGCAGTTAACGTGTTATACATTATTATAGCAGGAGCTTTGTTTTCTGCTTAGATTACAAACTCCTTGGTGTCTATTCAGAGGCAATGCCTAGGTCCACCTACATTCCTAACTCACCTCCTGGAAATACTGTTTCAGCAGGTAAAACTTCACCTAACTTGCACATGCCTCTAGTTTTTAAAGAATAAAAGGTACCTTGCTGGGTACCAGTGTAATTACCTGCATACACACCCTGCTCTCAGCATCAGGGTCCCATTACTGCTTCAGTCCTTCTCACACACCCCCCCATGCCAATTCTTTTGTAGCTAAAAGTACTACTTCTGGGCATGTACTGAGGCAGCATTTCTAAAATCTGGACTACAGCTGACCTACATCCATGCACCACCATCACCATAGCCCTGGTTTTCAGCACTAAGAATATGCCTCAAAATAATCCAGCGAATGCCACAGGTGAGGTGCAGTGTGCTACACAATCTGGCTCGTGTTTGTACACTGAGTCAAGGTAACTGTCCCTTTGCAGAGCAGGGAGGACCTTGCAATGCTTTCCCATCTCTATTGTATGTTTTCCACATGAGGAAGACTTCCAAGGAAAGTCTCCTTTACTGAAATGTGGGCATACTGAAGTAGCATGCTCTTCATCGTTGTGTTATCTCTGGTTTAAAGGGATTTAAAAAAAAAAAAAAAAGCAGCTTTAACAAGTAGTCTGTGGGGGAATCTGTAGAATGCATTCAGTTTTCCCATATGTGAAATATTGTATGGATCTATTGTAAAGGAAACAGATGTTTCAGAAATGTATTTGCTTGTACTTTGTTATTACCAAATACTAAAAGATTTTTTTTTTTCTAAAGAAAAAAATAATCTTCTTTTTACCCAGTAAAAAGAGAAAAAAAAAATAAACTCTTGCTGGCCATGGAGTAAAAATTTCCTATGTTCTTCTGTAGATGTGATTGCACATATTGTAAATAACTTTTTTGTGCAATTAGACCAAAACTGTTCAGATGAGGATACTGGCTGCGGTGGGCTCCTTTTTGCAGTATAACAACACAAACCAGATACAATTTGCTGCTTGTGCTACTGCAGTTCTCCCTTTGGCCATAGCACTCGCTGAATCCCCACCCTCGACGTGTTACTTGGGTGCTTTGCTGGTTTTTGAGCTCCCCCAAATGAAATCTTTTTAACTGGCATTATTTCTAGGAGCCTGTACGTCGACCAGCCTGCGTGCTTTATCTCATGTGGTGTAACACCCTAGTCCACAAGTTGTTCTCTTGAAACGATTGGGAAAGGGAGGATGAGAAGGTGTTCAGGGTGAGAAAGTGGGTCTGTTTCTTAGTTCACTGCATTTGTCTCCGTCGTAGTAGTTATCACTGATGAAACAGCAGCAGCAGTAGCAAAGAATAAAATACAAGGAAATAAAAGAAGGGGACAAAAAAAGAAAGAAAAAAGAAACACAAGTCAAGGCTCCTCACTCTGCCAATTTAAACTGGTTGAAGTAGATGGATGGGTTGACTTGTACCATTAGGCTTCAAGCCAGCTGAGGTACTGGCTGTCTGCACAACTGTAACTTTGTACTAAATCAAATGTTTTCTGCCCCTTGCAGCTGGCATAAGCTCAGTTTGAAGGCCCATAGTCAGCATTTAAATCTTTTACTGTGCTGTGGCTAATTAGACTACTGTTTGAAACTTTACAAACTCATTTTTATAGACGTCTGTATTATTAGTGTATAACTTTCTAGTCTGAGGGTCCAACTTGGATGCATGAATTTCACATTGAAATTACAGATAGTATAATGGTTACCAAAAAGGAAAGGCGATTAGTTCAAATCCGTAGCTAATATGGCTAATAAAAAAAGGCCTAGCAGAGTCTTATTAGATGGAAGAAGCAGTGCAGAACTGGGCTGCAGACTGGCAAGCAGTTTCAAGGTGTGCTGGTTGGGAGAACAACTAGAAACAAACCCCATGAAAGAGGGGGACACTACAGAGCCCCTGCCAGGGTCCAGCACTGGTGATATTGTGTGATTTTTAAATCCTTCAATAGTGCAATTATGTTGCATAGGCTAAAATCCATAAATCTTAAGTTCAAGTTTTCACAGTCACGCCTGGGGTTAAATACTCTGCATAATTTCCTAAGTAGCTAGAAGGAGTAATTAGACAGAACAAAGGAAAAAGCTGGGTCACTTTATACATTTTTTATGTGGGATTTTGTTGCATCAAATTTAGCTGCTTCCTATGACACATCTTTTTGATTCTTAGCCCCGTCTCAGATCGAAATAAATTGCATTTGCATGACAGTGGCAAAAAAATATAAAAAAAATATATCCAAAATAGTAAGACATGTGCTGCTGTAAAATTACAAAGGTGTAAATACTAAACATTTTAGCAGATAAATATTTATTTGCATAGCCTATTTATTGTCATCTTATTACACTGTTAAGATATACTGGGATGAAGTAAATGAGCTGAGGTAAGAACACCTGCCTGTTCCACTCTCTCTGAGTGCCATAATGCTGTCAGCTTGCATTAAAAGTAATCAAATAAAAAACCCCAAATCAAGGTATTTACCTAACTTCTCAGGGACTACAGCTAGTAGTTATCCACCGTTATGAGACCTGGTATGTATGAAATAATCTGATTTACCAGAATCAACGTTGCCAATGTTTTCCTTTCAATATTTCATGCTTGTCTGCCTCTGTACATATTATTGTGTTGTGTATTTATGAGAGCTAGTAAGCAATAATTTATATGTCAAAATGGCCAAGCAATACAAGGTTAAAACTTGTAGAAGCAACTGTTCAACATTTATCTTGCATTTTCCAGTGTTTTTTAATATTGCTTTTCAAAAATATAAAAACTACCTTAATGAAGTCTGAGCTCTGTGCTTTCATGCCTATCACATGTACTTACGGTTCCTAACTGGTATATTTTATGCTCGTACTTCCATTCACTCAGTTCTGCAAACCTGCCCTGTGTTTGCCAGGTGGAGGCAGACCAGTGTGACCAGTGTGTGCCTGGTTAGGGGCTCAGGGGCCTGACTCCTTTACAAGCTGCTTCTTCATCTCTGCTTGGTGGGACCTGCCCATGTATTCCAGGCAGTTTCAGAAGCAAAGGTGATGTTAATGGGGTCTCAGCTGTTCCTTATCATCACAACAGAGTCTAAGAGGGGCCTGGAGGCACCATGAGAAGTCCCTGTGGGCAAGTGGATGAGTAAATCTATCTTCATATCATCTGGAGTCAGTTTATCAGCACTTGATCCTCTTGCTGAGGACAGCAAACACTTCCTCTTTCACCAGGCATCCCTGCCAGTGGAATTTCTTCACTGTCTACTCAGCTGGCTTGCCTCAGGGAAGGCAAGCTCATGGTGGGCTGAAGTGTGCTGTAGTGCAGCTGAGGCTTGTCCTGTTCTTCCACCCTTTCCACTTGCAAGCCCTGGGATCCACTAAGCCATGCATGACTATTTCACACAGAACTAACACTCGGTACTTACTGCATGATGTCTGCTCAAAGTGCTTTGCAAACAGACAGTACTTAATGCTCTAAGTGCATGTGCCTTGAATGGTCTTAAGCCTGACCTATGAAGTGTTTGTGTCAGCGTTAATATACAAGTAGGGTGAATTTTAACTGGAGTAATTAAAACAGTAGAAGCCCAAATGGTTGACACAGCTCTATAATGATGTTTAAAGATACTTTGCAGTCAGACATACTTTTCCAGATCCAGCTGTGCAAGCTGAAGAATTTATGTTCCCAGCTGTTCATCACTGCCCAGGAGACCTGGGGAATATCTCCTAACCTGTTGCAGCTGGTCAGCCATGTGTGGCTCCATGCAAGCAGCAAACTTTGCACTGAAGCGCTCTCTTTCCATCCATCAGCCTCCCTGGGAGGTTGTCACAGGAAGCTAGAATACCTTTAGGATGATTTGCAAATGGGAAGGTGTAGGGCTGAGGACAGCTGCCTTACAGCTCCAGCTGAGCTACAAGAGCTGTAAGAAGAGGCTGCTTCACTAAGCAACTGATCTCCAGATGTCATCCTATCTTGGACTGTCTTGCTGAGCTATTCAACCAAGAGCTCCTCTTCTGTCAGCCAAAGAGAGCTTTAATGGCAAGCACCTGCAGTTTAAGCTGCTCAGTGCACTCCATGTGTTTTCACTGAAGTGAAAAGAGTTGAGAGAGGCCTGTGATGAGCTGTTTCTGTAGGAACTGTGTGAAGGTGAGAGGCAGCAGGTGGGGGTAGTTTGCTCTGGGGCCAGCACAACCCTCTACTTGGAGAGGGACTGACCTGTGGAGGAACA